GAAGACTGAAAGGTCCCCGGTTCAATTCCAGTCAAGAGCACATACCTCAGTTGTAGGCTCCTCCTGGACCCAGGCCCTGGTCAGAGCGTGTGCAGGAGGGAACCCATCAATGTATTTCTCTCATATCAATATTTCTCTCTGTCTTTCCCTCTCTCTTCCACTCTCTCTAAAAATCCACGGAAAATATCCTCCAGTGAAGATTTAAAAAAAAAGATGAAGAAGAATACTAGAAGGAAAATTAGAGTCCAATGTCTCTGATGAACATTGATGTAATCCTCATCAATGAAATATTAAACAGAATTCAACATCATGTTAAAAAGGATCAATTATTATTTATTCCTGGTATACAAGGATGGTTAAAATATGCAAATCAATAAATGTTATACAACACACGAACACAATAAAAGTGTAAACATCAACTCAATAGATGAAGAAATATAAATAATATAGAATAAGTATTAATAATAAATGATATATCTTAAAAGCCAACAGTGTACATCATACCTAACAGCAAAGAGCTAAAAGCTTTTCCTCTAAGATCAAGAACAAGACACGGGATGACCACTCTACACTTCCATTAACATATTACTAGAAGTTCTAGCCAGAGGAATTAGTCAAGAAAAAGAAATAAAAGTGATCCATACAGGCTAGGAAGAAGGAAAATTTTTCAGTTTGCACATGACATGATCTTATATACAGAATACCATAAAGCTTCAATTTAAAAAAAATATTAGAACTTATAAATGAATTTAGTAAAGTTGAAAGATATAAAACCAACATAAAAATTAGTTGAGTTTCTATACACAGCTAACTATATTGATTTTTTAAAAAAATAGAATCCCATTTACAATGACATTACAAATAATAAAATACTTAGAGATAAATTTAACCAAGGAAGTGAAAGACTTGTACACTTTTACCTTTCAGATACCCTAAAATAGTCTTAGGGATCGAGGGCTCCAGAGAACACACTTTGAGAACTACTATTCTAAATCAATGGTTCTTACCTTTCCTTTTGTTTTTATAGCACAAACAATGTAATATTAATAAATTGATTAAAAAAACTATAGTGATAATAATAACTGTCACCTACCTAAAGCATCTAAGGTGGCAAGTGTACACTTTTATAACATTATTTTGTATAACCTGTATTGAGAAACAGTGAGAGATGTATTCTTGTACTCATTTTCTAAATGAGGAAATTAATGAATCTGAAAATGTTGGACTAGTTTTCCAATTTAAAAAAGAAAAGAAAACTGTAAACATTGATAGAAAAAAATTGAAATAGATATGTACCAGCAAATAAATAATGTATCCTGCTTTGAATTAGAAGAATTAATATTATTAAAATATTCATGTTATACAAAGTAATCTATAGATTCAACGGAATGCTTATGTAAGACTTCCAAACACATTTTTTATAGATAAAGAACTAACAATCCTAAACTTTGTAAGAAACCACAAAGATCCTGAATAACCAATGCCATCATGAAAACAAACAAACAAACAAACAAAGCTGAGAGCATCACACGTTTTGATTTCAAACTATATTAAAAGGCTATAGTAATGAAACATTGTGGTATTGACATAAAAACAGAATAATGATCTGTTTGATATAAAGTTATCAATGAAACCAAGCTAATGAGTGGTGACACAGAATCAATGAAACAAAATAGAGGGCCCAGTAATAAGCGCATGCAGATCTGGTCTATTCCTTTTGACAAAGGTGCCAAGAACACATAATTGTGGGGAAAACTGGATATCTACATGCAAAAGAATGGAATTGGACTCCTAGTTTACACTGTTCACAGAAAACCTCAAGATGAATTATAGACCTAAATATAAGACCTGAAGCTGAAATACTTCTAAAAGAAAACAAAAGGGAATAATTGACATTGGTCTTGCAATAGTTTTTTGGATATGACAACCAAAGCATACGGAACAAAACAAAAATTAACAAGTGGAACTATATTGAAGTAAATTGTATATTGTTTCCTTTGCTATACACTTTGTATAGCAAAGGAAACAATCAACAAAAAGGTAACCTATGCAATGGAGAAGATATTTACACACCATATATTTGATAAGGGCTTCAATATCTAAAATATATGGGGAGCTCATACAATTCAATAACAAAAAGACCACAAATAGCCCAATTTAAAAAATGGACAAAGACCTGAATAGACATTCCTCCAATGAAGATGTACAAATGACCAACAGATACATGAAACATGCTCAGTCTCATGAATCATCAGGGAATACAAAGCACAACCATGAGCTATCACCTCACATGGGTTACCAATTAAACAAGATATAGCAAAAGCCAGCAAGGATGTGAAGGAAAGGTAATATTTTTAAACTGTTGGTAGGGATGTAAACTGGTATAGCCTTTATGGAAAATAGTATGGAGTTTCCTCAAACAATTAAAGAAACCACATAGAACTACCATATGATTCAGCAATATCACTTTTGGGTATATATTCAAAACAAATGAAATTGATACATAGAAGAGATACCATATTGTTGTATACATAATATCTATAATAATAGAAGTGTAATATGCTAATTAGACTGAATAGCTGAATGACCTTCTGGACATCCTTCCGGATGACCTTCCAGACAAAGCTGGGGCTGCAAGGGCTGAGGCAAGCCATTGCGGCTGTGAGGGCCAAGTCCCTTGCACGAATTCCATGCATCGGGCCTCTAGTATTAACTATATACTGTGTTATCTTTATACTGGGAATTACTAGCCAAAGTATGAAACGAAACTAAGTGTTTATAGTCTAAGTAGAGGCCTGGTGCACAAAATTCATGCACTCGGGGGCGTGGGATCCCTCAGCCAAGCCTGCACCCTCTCGCAGCCTGGGAGCTCTTGGGCCATGTCCAGTGGGGAGCGAGCCTAAGCTGGCAGTTGGACACTCTTAGTGCTGCTACGGAGGCAGGAGAGGCTCCCATCACCGCCCCTGCACTGGCCAGCCATGAGCCCAGTTTTAGTGAAGAGCATGCCATTTGCAACAATATAAATGAATTTTGAGGGCACTATGATAAGTGCATTGATTCTTTAAGCCAGACCAATAAACACAGATACTGCATAATATCACGTATATGTGGAATCTAAAAAAAAAAAGAAAAAGAAAAAAGTTAAACTCATAGAAACAGAGTAGGATTCTAGTTGCCAAGGATTGGAGGCTATAGGAAATGGAGTGATGCTGGTCAGAGGGTACAAATCTTCAGTTATAAGATGAATATGTTCTGAAGATCTGATATGCAGCATGGTGACTGTAGTTAATATACTGTGCTGTATACTTAAATTTTACTGAGACATTAGATATTATGTGTCCTCAACACACACAATACACACACAAACATACACACAAAGGTGACTATGTGAGCTGATGGATGTGTTAATTTGACTGTGATAATCATTTTATAATATACATGTATATCAGGTTATCATGTTTTATACTTTAAATATATACAATTTCATTAGTCTATTACACCTCCCAAATCCTCACCCTCCTCCCCCGCCTCCCAAAACAAAAACAGAATAGAATACAGACCACTAGTCTTATTCAGAATAAAAATAAAAACAATAGAACTCTTTAATCACCTCTTCCATAAAGTTTACATGGTACTGACAATTGATCAAACTAGATATTTAAAAAAAGAATAGAAATACAATTTAAAAATATAGAAAACAGCTGGGACATTGTATATTATTGCATCTTCCTTTTAAGCTGTGTCAATAGACCTACATTTTGTCTCCAGCAATGCCTTCCTTTACTATTGTGTGTGTGTGTGTGTTTTTTTCATTGTGTGTACTTTTATTCCATTTTTGGAAGTATTTCATTTTGGTTTTCTTGAATAAACAGGGTCCAAAAAGTAACAAGTATCGGTGAGAAAAAAATAATGGATGGGCAAAAATAACAATGATTATCGAATATTCACTTAGGTAATAGTTTGGATAGCAATAAAGTTCTCATAAGAATGAAGTTCTCATAAGAGTATATATATATATATATATTGGGGGGCAAAAATGGTGATCTTGTGAATTCCATCATAAAACAAAACAAAACTTTATTGGATTATTATCTTTTAATTTCCTCATCTGATTCTGTTCTAGGCTCTACACATATTTTTAACAGATTCTTTTCTAGGATATCATAAGCAAAAATATATAGTATTACTATGGATTATGGGATAGGTATAGAAGTAAAGATATAGACTTCAGCATGCACACACAAAAATTAATTTCATATTTGTTTGAGAAGCTGTGGTTGGTTTTACCATGATACACTGATTTTATTGCATATCATTGTGGTCATAGCATCATGCAATTTGGCATGTAATTTGTATCAGAAAGAGTTCTGTCTCTATCATTTGCAATAGCAACAGCTATATATTAATCACATAGCTTTATATATATGCCTAATATGCAAATTATTCCCACGGGAATTTGACCACGAGACCGATTGCTCATTATGACGTGTACTGACCACCATGGGGCAGCACAGAACAAAGGAGAGCCCTGGTCAACAGCCGGAAGGCCCCAATTGGCCCTATTGCCAGCCAGGCCTAGGGACCCTACCCATGCAGGGATTTCATTCACTGAGCCTCTAGTATGAAATAATAGTAACAGTAATACAGAACTGTCTCAACCAGTATGACTCCTAGTTTTTGAACTGAGTTTTAAATGGATTGTTGATGTTCATAGATGGATCAGAACAAATAAAAGAACTAGTTGGAATTAATCACTCTGTTCTCTTCAGTCCCACAGTGCTTTGTTAATTCTTAAGAACTTAATTCATTCTGTTTTGATTTAGTGCAATTTCTGCACAAGCTCATCACCTCTACCTAGCCGGGAGTTTCTTGTGTAGTGGCCCATCTCATTCATCTTTCATATCCACAGCTATTAATAATTGTCCGTATATGAAACAGTCACAACTAAAAAGAATAAAGATTTTCTTATCTTTTTATAATGTGCTTTTTAAACTTCTTTCAGAAATTTGATACCACTGTACAAAAGCGAAGATGACACAGAAATTTCAAAGACAATTAAGGCTCAGTGGACTTCTCTGGGCCTAGAAGATGTGCAGTTTGTAAATTACTCCGTGCTGCTGAGTCTGCCAGGCCCTTCTCCCAGCTCCGTGACGCTGAGCAGCAGTGGCCAATGCTTTCATGTTAATGGCCAGCCTTGTGATGGAGAAGCCAGAACACACCGCAGCCAAGATCTGCTCTCCTCATACGCAGCCTATTCTGCCAAAGGAACTCTCGAGGTAATATGACCATTTGTCTCTGTCATTTACAGTGAAATAGAATTAGAAAACAGCAGCTTTCATCTAAAGCGAACTAGCTGGCAAGATGCAACATACAAAAGTAACTGTTAAAAGTCCTCAGTGTGGAGATGCCAGGGAAGGAAAAGGAAGATTTGGATTGCCTGGCTCTTGACTTGTCATATTTGAAAAGTGAAAACACGTTTGAAGAATTTAATTCAAAAGTGTTGAACATGCGACTGAGTCATTCACATTTCCCTTAATACATAAAGTACATGTTCATTTCATTCTTTGGTTTTGAAAGGCAGATTTTAATAGATTGCTATGGACAGAAGGAATAGAGGTGAGGGCAGTGGAAAATTGATGTGATTATTCACACTTTTAAGATTTGAAATACAGTACTTCCACTTTCTTAATGGAAAACACCTGAGCTAGAAGGCCAGCTGTGGGTTATTGCTTTGTTATTTTCTGGGTTAGTTTTTGTTGTTTTTTGGTGCTTTTTTTTTGGCATTGAGGTTAAGTGCATGGCTTCTAGAGCCACATGGACTGGTTTCAATCTCAGCTCTCGGGCTGTTTCCTCAACAATGTAATGTGGCTAATCATATTTCCAATATCATAAGGTTGTTTTGGGAATCACATTGAGTAATATGTGTAAATCTTGGAGGACAGAGCCTTGGCCGTAGTAAAGACAATTTGCCAGTTAGACACAATATGTAACTGGTCACTAGTTTTCTTAAATAACAAGTTGTCTGTTCCCATGTAAAAATATCGACTTAATCAGTACATTTAGTCTTTTATAAAACTGTAGATTGCTTTACTTAATACAAATGAAATAATGTTATGTTTCTGATTGTTCATTATTGCCACAGATTTTTAAGAATCTAACTTCTGATTAGCTCTGATTAATATATGAAATATTTAACCCAGATGGTATTGCTCAGTGGTTGAGCATCGACCTATGAATCAGGAGGTCTCTATTCGATCCTGTCAGGGCACGTGTCTGGCTTGCAGGCTCCATCCCCAGTAGGGGGCGTGCATGAGTCAGCTGATCAATAATTATTTCTCATCATTAATATTTCTATCTCTCTTCCCTCTCCCTTCCTCTTTCTGATATCAATTAAAACATATTTAAATATCTATTCAATAAAGGATCTAATAAGGTATTTATATGGATTTTTAAAGCTCTAGTTGTATTATGATTTTCAAAAGCAAAGCAATTTGTAGGTGACTGTTTTACATGCATATGGAGTACTTGCATATTTTATGTACATGTTTTAGACAGATGTATTATTGATACTCACATATTTTAATTAATAGAACACTAGTAATTTTTCTGCATCCCTTCAGATCATTTCCTAATTCAAATCAAGCTTGAGAGGTTGCTGCTGCTGATTCAGGCATACCTAATTTTTTATTTTGAGTACATTGTGTTTGCATGAATTTCTATCAGGCAGAGCCATTAACAAGTTCCTAAATTATTCTAGTTTGACTGCCAGCAAAGCTCCCCACTACTTTGCTTTTGACAAGGTTATTTGTAGAAGAGGAGTGCCCCTTTTCTTTGAAGAGCTGTCATGTCCATTCATCATGTGACTGTTTGGGATAAGCTTCCAATTTTTGCTTTTTGGTAACAGTCTAAACAGCATTTGTGATATCTGAGATCTACTTGGAAAACCGGCACAGTGCCAGCATGATGGATGGTGTACTTTGCAACTTCTTTGTAATTCATCGTGTACTGGAAAGGTGACATTGTTTACCCCATCATAATGACAGGTGGGTCAGTGAAAGGGTCCTAAAGAGAGTTGTCCTGTCAGATGGAAAATACATATTAAAATGGATACATACATAATTTAGCATGAGTGAGGTTAGCTTTGGGGAATAAACAGTAATTTATATTTTTATTGAAAGGCAAATACCCACTATAATATCATCATGCTGTTAAAGACATTGGTAGTGAGTGTTGACAATGTCTAGTCAGTTTCACAAATAGAATATATGACTTCATGTAATCCCTGTGCAATTATGTCTTGTGTCCTTTGTGATACCCACACAGATGCAGAAAGCAAAGGGAACAATTAATATTTAATATGGGTTGGTCAGGTTGGGTCAGCCATGTTTTTAGTTTTGAACAGGGAATTTGTTTTTATTCTAATACATCTTATGGGTTTTAGAGTGTTCTTTCTATTAAGTATTCCTTGTATCTGAAAGACAAACCCAATAATGCAATTTTGTGTAGAAATTTATTTTCACCAACTCATTAACTGTGCTTAAAATATTGATATCAACACATTTATCACTGCCCCATTCCTCTGAGAACCCAGGCTAGCACCCTTCCTGATCAACTGTGGGTTAGCCACTTTAACTCTGTAAGCGTTTATGTTCTTATTTTTATAAGAGGAAACATACTAGTATCCCAAGTGGTTGTAGGAAAGAAATTATAAAAATCGCTTAAAGTGCCTGGCACTTGGAAAGCACTCTATAAATGTTATTATTATTATGTGGAATAAAGTAGTCACATTCAAATGAGATAAATTAGGAAAATATCAGAACTATCTATCATAAGTTTTAGAAGCACAAACTTTTTACCCTGTTGTCTGATTATAATGGTCTTGTATTCTGTTTAACATGACAAATATCAATCATCAGGGAGGAAAATGCTTTGAATATATATATATATATATATATAGCTAAGTGACCGTCGGACCGGCCAACCAGCTAGTAGCTATTGGGGATGTCTGAGAGCCAGTTTCAGCCCGATCCCTGCAGTCCAGGCTGAGGAACCCCACCTGCCAGAGGGAACCTGCTCACTCCAAAAACCACCTTTGAGCCATGGCTCCACCCCAGGTGCAGTGGCTGCAGGGGGACAGCGGGAGGTTGACTCCAAGGCCTGTCAGGCCTGTTTCCCCCAGTCCCGCCCCATTGGCCACCTTCTAATTAATTTCCTTTCAATGTGCACTAATGTGAGTAAATAATAGACTATATATAGGTCCCTGATTATATTTTTAATTAAAAACTAAAAATCAGCCGAAACCGGTTTGGCTCAGTGGATAGAGCGTCGGCCTGTGGACTGAAAG